GTATAGTAGCTTGAAGTAATTTATTGCACACGTAGGTTGCGTGTTTTTGCTAGTACTGTCAGACATCAAGTCCTGGATGGGAGCTAATTTTCTTCAGTTGAACGACAACAAGACCAAGGCTCTCCGGTTTGGCTCCCATCAATGCCTCCACACCTCAGGTGCTGACAGCATAAACATCCATGGTTGCACACTGCACCTTACTAAGCCAGTCGGAACCTTGGCATCTTGTTTAACCCTCAACTATCCTTTCAGACTTGCAAACAATTCTTGTCTTTCATGCACTTCCTATGCTGGAAAGATGGGTGTTATTTATTTTTATTGCAAGTTTGGCTATTCACTGCTAAAAGAGCAGTGTGATTGAATGGCTGGAGAAGGTGGTTTCAGGAGTTGTGTGATTCATACCCATGAAGGCTAAATGCAACAAATGTGAATTGCATTAGGCTCAATTCTCTGTCCTGTTTTAAAGGAGATACTGGGAAATTTGAACAAACCATTTTTTAAAAATGTTGTTAAAATGGTCAGATGTCCTTTTCAAAAAAAAAAACTTCCCAGAATTGCTGTTGCTGATATTCAGTCCTGACAGAGCTTGAAGCATAATTGGGGTCCTGCACCATATCACTATACTGTTTGGAATAAAGCCAGCGACATTAAATTATGCTGTAGAAATTCTGTGTAATGAACCTATGCTGGAACCTGTTCTATTGTTGATTTTGTCTACTCAAATGAGAAGCCTTGCATTTACTTTGGTGTTTCCTTTATAGTGGTCCTGAGTCTTGTATTTTCTAATTGAAGTTTGGAAGCCACAGGGTTAGCAAATGTTCATGTTTCTTTTGTTTCCCCCAGGTGCAAATATTTCCCTTTTGCTTTATTCTATCAAAGCTAGATAGCATTTAACAAATGCGATGGTTTCTTTCATACTATAATAAAAAGCTACCTCAAGATTTTACAGATCTAAGGAACAGCTTCTGATCATAACTTTACCCTTGCAACTCTGTGAAGGCATCACTTTTTCTTTATTGTGTGTTCAGCACAGAATATGGAGATACTGTTTATGGTTGCTGACTGAACAGTAAACTTTAAACACTTAACCCTGCATAACTGTATAACTGGGTAGAAGATATTCTCAGCTGCCCAGTTAGTTTGTTAAGTGTTTGGCTCGTTAACATCCCATCCCTGATTATTTTTTATTTTGGATGCAAACTGTGTTGCTTTTCTGTGCCTTGTATTTCAAAGCATAGTGGTTGTCTTTCAACTGGAATCCAGAGATTGCTCTCAGATATACTTTCTGCTCTGCCATGCTCTTTTTCTGTAGCCCATCCAATTGTTTTATATAATGGAAGAGGAAGTTGACTCAAGTGTATCCCAGTCACCAAGATTCAAGTATGGTTCCAACATTTTGGCTTTCACTCCAGTCCAAATGCTGGGTTTGTGAGTTCTACGGTATCCTCTTCTCTTGTTTCGTTAGTTTAGGTTAGTTCATGTATCTCATTCCTTCTAAGGATTCCAGGCATTGCATTCTACTGCCATGGAATGTTTTTCTTATTTGCACTGTGCAGAAGAACTGCTTGTGTTAGTGACCCAGGTGTAGGTATTCAGTTTGAAGAGTTCACATTTCTGTTCCTGAAATATAACAGCAGCTGCAGCATTTTTAAAAAAAACATGGTGCATCATTTTTAATCATTGTGGAAAATAATTCTCAAGGTGCAATACCCATGAGCTTTTGTGACTGAGCATTGATGTTTGTTGAGCCCAATTAACTGTATAGCCTGAGAGACTTCTATATTTAAAAAAAAGCATTGGAATTCCCAGTCCTGTGTAATGGAGCAAAGCCTCATAGGTTTAAATAGTTCCTTGGATCTCCACTCACATTTTTTTTGATGTTCTCTTTGCTAATTGGAGAAGATCCAATTTTAAGCACTCTGAGACGCTACTCTGTGTGGAGGGCGCTATATAAGTACAAATTGTTGTGCCTTCTGGGGATATTGTGTACTTTTTATGTAAGCGATTATGATGTTCATTAAATCGAATAAACTTCTTTTGAAAAGAGGGAGCTTTGCTCCACGTTATCTCTGCGTTGAGCTGCTTTTGATTACGCGGTTGGATCATCTCTGCTTATTGCTTGTGTATGAGCTGCTGATATTTCTGTTGTGAATTTTCTCATTGAAGCTAAATTCATTTGACTTGAGTTGTAAAATCGATAATGAAGGATTTGGGAATTGTGAATGGCAGTTACAATTTCACAGTGGGTGTGCTTATATTTTGAGGCACCCGGAGTACAAATGGTTTTCTTGGCTTGGAAAAAGAAAATTGTACCTGGCCTTGGAAATAATGCATGCAGTGTGAGATTGTGATATTAAGAAAGCGAATGGTCTAAGGCTGCTGCCTCGTATGCGTACAGAGCAAGTCTCACTATCTGGCTTTCGATACAAGCAAGGTATTATCTGTCAACATCTGTCTGTCAAATGAATGGGTGTAGAAAAAGTACACAGAAAATTGGTTGTTGTCTTGTTTTGACAATTTTACTATTGTTAATGGAGGGGTTAGCTGGAGGGTAAACTTTTCTATCTTATAGATGTTTACTTGGTAGCATCTGGCAGATTCCCTTTGCAGCGCACATTGCCATGGCGGCTTCATAATGTGCTCTTGTACGTCTCACAGAGGCTGCTTTATATAGGACAGAGCTGTATTTACAACGTACAGGAGAGAGAGAGTGCAGGAAAGTTAGCTTTGCCGTTTTCACTCATTGTTAGAAATGTGAGCATTCTCGTCCTATGTTATTCAGCCAATGAAGGGACACTGAGTCATCATGTCCCAGAAGGGAAAAGTGTATCACAGGATTTTCTGCTGTGGACTGGTTAATCATGGTGCTCATTTTATACAAGCAACTCCACAGAGTGGGGGGGGGAAAAAAAACCTGGATCATAGCTTTTCTTGCTTTGGCTAGTTGTGGGTTGAGCAACTTTCAGTCAGATCTACAACTGACACATTTTCGTGTACAAAGCGGCTGTCTGAGAAACCGATTCCCCATCTGTACCACATGTGCCAACACCGTTTTTTTTTCTCTAGTGGAGACTTCCCCGTAGGGTTAATTGTGTGTTGCATTCTGCCATTTTAAGTAGCCGGACTATTTACAATTATTTGCTTTTTGTTCCCTTAGACCCACTTTTAAGCCATGATTTAGGAATCCGACCGTCTCATTTATGTTGGAAAAAGAAGTTCAGATTCAAATGAGAATGGAAATTTATTTTGCTGCTGAATGTGAGCACATGGTGATGTTCTGTCCAGTCTAACCTTGATTTGGCACTTCAGCTTCTTTTCAACTGTCTGGTTTTAAAATAAATACTTTAGTTCCCAATATGACCGACTAGGATCTCTTTTTACTTTGTTCTTAACTGTACTTAGATTCTGCTTAATTGAGCCTCTAGCTGCCTTAGGATGGGTTGCGTTATAAGTGTCCAAGGTAAAACTACCCACCCCTCAGTGACAAAACTGTTTATGTCTGACTGGTTAAAGTGCTACCTACCTACATACAATTGTTAGAGCAACGTTATTGCACTTCTTGCGTTGTGGATAGGAAATATGGGTGTAACTGACACTTACAAAGGTATTTGCAATTTTATAAACCTGTGATTTTTAGAAATCTTCAGAAAGCTCTTGGTTTCTACAGTGTGTGCCCCAGAATTAATTGGGAGCAGGAAGAACATAAAATATTCATGTTTTTTTTAAAAAAGCATGGTTATGCCCGACTATTATTCCCGCAGTTTGATCTAAACTAACAAGTTTAACATTCGTATGTGTGAAACTGAATCTGACTGATTATATAAATATTAGAGATTTAGTTGTAAGTGATGCTGAGCTTTTTTTCCCTCTTTCTTTCTTGCTGTCTGGAGTGTGACAATGAATTGTACTGGAGATTACTCAGGGGAAGGGGGTAAGATTCATTTTATTTTTGCCTCTGCTGGTTTTTAGAGTGTGTTGGTAATCAACTACTGAGGCACAACTTGATATTAATAGTATCAGTTGTGATTGTGTGAGATTGCATGTATGGTGTTCTGAAGTCCTTGATTTGGAGGCTTGCCATTTTGAGTAAATACTGCCTTAAATTAACCATATTGTGTGAGAGAGATCATTAGCATAAAAATCAGTAAGATTTCTTTGTGAGTGTTACAAGACCCTCGATGCCCAAGATTTGGGGAGGTAGAAATTACCTGAAACTCCACCAATGCATTCACTCTTAGTCTTGAGATTTCGTGGAGCCCAAGGTGTTTCCTGTTCATAGAATTTTTATGTTTTTTTAAAAAAAGCTGATCGCAATCTTTCATCAGTGAGCTCAATTCTTGGATACATTACTTTTATTTTTTCTATCTCATTGGTAGCACTCTTAACCTGTGGGTTACAAAGTGGTCATTTGGAGTAGCAGCGCAAGGAGTTGTAGTCATAATCTATTCTAGACTGTTGCTCGAGTACAGGGGGAACACTGTGAGAGATAGAGGAGAGCTGCAGGGTTTTCAGTGTAGGGCTTTGGATGAATTGTTAAACCAAGACCTTGTTGGTTCTAGTTCTTCATTCTTGCATCCCATGGCACTATTTTGGAGTAGAGAGTCAGATCTTCAGTTGCCTCCGCATGCTGCAGACTTGACGCAGTATAAAGTTGCTAAGCTGAATTGAGTAAGCCTGCTGAGTCCCACTCTTCCGTAACATATTGACGTTGTTGTGAAACCATTGCATTGATGTCAAGTCATCCATAAGCTGCAGCTTCATCTACTACACCATCAGGGCTGCTACTATTTTGAAAACCTAAGCTCTTTCAAATGGATGAGAATAAAGCCTAGGAGTCTTGCCACTTGTTTTCAGATTCCCAGTTGTAATGATTTTACGGTTAATGTTCATTATCCAGGGTAAATTAATTTGGATTCGTGGATGAGAAGAAATTGATGGGGTAGAAATAAATTTGTCAAATATTTATGGAGTAATGTATGCTAAACTTCTTTCTCTTTCAGGTAGAATTGCGCAATCTCCACTATGTCTCAAACAGCAGAAAAATTTAAGGTGAGTAGTTTTTTTTTAGAAAAAAATAGAATGGTATTATTTGGGATTATTTCTTTAAAATGGCTGAAGTAAAGGTTTGTATGGTACTGCTTTCTGGTTAAAGCTAGTGGACAAGATGTACTGAAGCTATCCAATGATTCAGGTTGAACCGAATAATTTGAAATGTGTGTTTGCATGCCCCTTTAAGAAAATGTCCTTTCATTTGCACATATGTGGTGTTTGCTTTAGCAAGTCTTAACCTAGTCTGCTTATTGTCTTAAATGTTGATTAACTTGTCACCAAAATAGACGAAGATTGTAAATCAACTGTGCAGCATTGATGTGAAATTGTAGTTTTTAATGTAAACTACAACAACAACTTGCACTTATATAGCATCTTCCACACAGGGTAGTGTCTCAGAGTGCTTAAAACTAGCATTTGAAAGAGAGCAACCTTACTAATGTGAATGTCTTAAAAAGGTGGCTGATGTAGTAATGACACTGATTTTTAAAAAAAATTGTTTGGGTTGCTTCCATAAAAAAGTTTGTCATGATTTGCTATAACTGAGTTCATTCTAAAGCCAAATTTCTATTAACTCTACAAAGCTCACCTGAGATGTGAATGCTGTTCCTGTGAAAATGAGTAGTTCCCATGAGAAAAATGAGCTTCAGGCATTACCACACACTTCTAGCTATAACCACTGCAGACCTAGGTTTGTGGTATTCACAAGGTCTCAAATATGGCCCTGACGTTTAGTGCCTCAGAAGGTCCCTGGTAAATTGTTGCACTGTCAGCCAAAAGTTACAGAGAGAACATCAATGTAGTTAGTTGAAAGATGTGTTTTTGTGAATATAATAAATTTTTATCACACAAGCAAGCTGCCATTGCTGGGAGAGCTGGCAACAGTTCACATCATTAATGCACTCATTGCATCATGTTATTACGAGCTACATGATGAATGGGCACGAGATTAAGAAGGTGGTTAGGGGTCTATGTTTAAGTGTGTACCTGGATGACACCCAACTTTCCTTCCACCTTCAACTCCAAGACCATTGCTTTTCAAGTCTGATGAGCTTTGACTTTCTGTAACTCATTGACAAAACTGAATCCAGTGCCAATGGCTCCTAACCTCAGTGCTATTCATGTCAATCTTCCTGGCTGTTCACTCAACTCACAGAGCCTGTGCGACACTTCTGCATTTAGTTTGGCTGTCAACACTCTTAACTTTTCATTTAGACTCTTAACCAAATCCATTTTCCTCCATCTTCACAACATTGCCTGCCTCTACTTCATGGATGCAGTGTATATCCCTTCAGGAAGAGAGTGAGCATTCCATTCCAGTTGAGTTGAAATTGCACGTGTGGGTGGCATGCATATGTGGAACTCTGCCTGGTTAGATCCTGGGTTTCTGCATGTGTTTGACAGCTGCCTGACCAAATAAAATCAACTTAAAAGGTTTTTGACGTGGCCTTCAAACTCTCCATAGCCTTGCCTTACCCGACTTCTTCGATCTCCTGTGACCCTTCTCCACGGCCACTCCCTCCCTCCATGTGGAGCGAGTGGACCCTGTCAACTCTGCTGCATGATCGTCTGCTGAGTTTCCAGCCACACTGCATCCACCCTGTGGAATTCTTCCAAAATTCCTGCTCCTTGACTGCTTCCTTTCTGCTTTTAAAACTCAACTAAAGACCTATATCTTTGACTGTTCCTTTGACCACCTTTCCCCGTTCCCCCCCACTCCATTTGCCTCCCAGAGTGGCCTCCCTCTGATGAAAAGTGGTGCTATAAAAGTGCAAATTTTGCGTTGGTTCTTGTTACAGTTTCCAGCAATACAAAATGTTGCAGCATCAGGACTGCCTCAGTTTGCACTTCCCAAATAACATTTTTACATTTGTGTGTTTCGTGTGGGGGAGGATGGGGAGAGAAATGACTACTGCAGGCATCTGGAGTCTTGAGTTCCTGTGCTGTCCAGTCGCCTGTGCAGGCTGCATTGGAATTTTCATTGAAGGCATACGTCACTGGGACTATACCAAGCCACAGATTTGGAAAGGGAAACTTATAAATAAATCGAATAAATTACCCGCATGGGCTTTGCTCTGAAACTGGATGAGCACTCATAAAGCTAGAAATACAAATGCAAATACTACATCATTAACAACAACAAAATTACATTAATGGAGCGCCTTTCACGTCGGGAGGATGTCCCAAGGCGCTATTAAATTTGAGCTGTTCTACGTACTTACATCAGTTAGGATAGGTCTCATTTCATTGGAACCTCTTCTGCCAAGTAATTGTTGGTGGGGGGGAGGGGGCGAGGCATTCTTATTTGTGCGGTTTTAAAGTCCATGCCTACATTGCTCATTTAGCTGGCAGATTATTTCCCTCTTGTGTGAAGTTATTTTGATGCTGTCTCATGTTGTCTCTGGGCTGTGCCACTCGATTGAGCTGTTGACAACCATGAAACATTGTGAGAACTACCAAAGAAAAACAATTTACAGTTTTTTTTGTATTCCATGTTGAAGTATACTTGTGTGGCCCAGGAGCTGTACCACAAAATGTGCATTAATGCAGAACACAGCTCTCCTGATCGCACAGTGCTTAAAGTACTCATACAGTGACTTACTAAATCTTGTAGATCAGAATATGCTGAGTTAACTGTCGGGCTGGCAATTGTGGTACTATAATTGACCTTAACCCTACTGATGTGGGAGGAGTAGAAACAGCTCTTGCTTTTGACTTTTCTGCTGTTAAGTGCATATGTGGATTTTTTTTAATGATGTTTGGGACTTTTGTGTTCTGTCCTATAATGCTGTGATTTTCCATTGTGAATGAGGGACAGGGATTATCCAGACTCTGATTTCTGGGCAGTGCATGGTACAAAGTCGGACGTGGTTAGCTCATTGTTAAATAAGCTATTCAGCCAAAGCTGTTTTAAGGGGAGGTGGGACTAGTTGGGATGAAGGAGGTACTACCCTAATCATCAAAAGTAACTTCTGTAAAAAGACTATTTGGAGACGCCATTTCCAGTGAGACGATTAAATCCTGAATGAGTAGTGGTGATTGTTGACTTTCGTGCTGACTGTGTGGAAGAAGTGTACGGTGAGATAAGCAGAACAGACACTCAGCTGGGCCTTGAGGTTTTCAATTGATGGCCCTTGAATAGGATCAGAGATAAAACTCCTGAACTTGCTGCCAGTAATTTGAGCTAGACATTTATTTTAACATGGGATCTGGACCCTAATTTCATAGTAGCAATTACAGTGGTTTGATCTTTGTGGGTTAGGATTATCTGGCAGGGTAGAAAACACACCACAGTGTGCACCTGGAATCATAGAATTATCCAGCACAGAAGGAGGCCATTCAACCCATTGTGTCAGTGCCAGCTCTTTTAAAAGAGCTATCCAAATCAATCCCACTCCCCTGCTCTCTTCTCATAGTCCCGCAAACTTGGCCTCCCCAAATAATTATCTACTTCTCTCTTAAAAGTTGTTATCGAATCGGCTTCCACCTCTTCAATTCGAGTGGAGTGTAAGTATTGGCATAGACGAGCTGGGCCGATTTTCGTCTGCTTCTGTGTCATTTCATTTTGTGCAATTCTAACTTGGTCCATGTTCTGAGCAGAACTTGGGACTCCATTTGAGCAAAAAGACTTCTTTTTTTAAAAAAAAAGTGTAGCAAATATTCCAAGACTGAACAAAATAGTGTGAGATAACACATTATTGTGGAAGATTTAGCATTAAAGCAAAGGGAACTGAACTGAGAAGAGGGCCCGCATTGGGAAAGTGTTTACCCCGCTGTCTCAATATGTATTCCAGCTGTGCTTTACTCAGTGGCCCGGTGCCTCTGTAAATGCAGAGCAGCCATCTGGAGATCTGGCCAAATCCACATTCGCAAGGCTTGTGGAGGGAGGGGGTGGGGGAGTAAAGAGAGGAAAAGAGAATTGACGTTTCACAGTGAATCTCCTTCTGGACCATCAATCAAAACATGATTAGAAGCACAAGCAAGCTGCCAAGAATTTTCTGCTTGGATTGGAGTTCATCTATGCTGTAATGGGAGCGACTGTGAACAGTGCATTGGAATTCTGGAGTCCGCTCTGGTATGCATTCATCCAGACACTACTATTTAAAAAGCAATTAATCTGTTTTTTCCCTTTGGCAAAGTTGAGAGGACTCTTGGGGGAGCAGTGATTACATTGGGCTAAGCATATTTAAGATAGCCCTACTCACTCTTCACCTGTTTACTCTGTCCCAGGTTGAAAGAGAATAATTATCCAGATAATCAGCATGAAGTTTAAAATGTTGAAAATTTACAGTGTGGATTTAAAAACAAATCTATACTTTGTCCAGATGAGAGGTTTTCAGGTCATAACAATGATGGTTCAACATTTGTATTAATGATTGCGCCAACATAAATCTTTTTTATTAATAAGTGGCCTTCATTTACAGGATGAAACCTCTCTGTGCAATGTCCCAATCTGACTGCTCCTGCAGAGATTAAGTTTCAGATAGGAAGATCTCGATGGAATCTAATCTCCCAGCATTTCTTTACTCGAACCAAATTTACTGCTTGTGCGGGTGATGCTGAAAATGCCTCTTATAGAAATCAGCAGATAATTGTCTGCTTTAAAACCCATTAACTATGCAGTACACACTTAATGGTATGTAAATGGAGATTTCCACTGTGTTTTCTGTGCCTATTGATGTGTGCTGTCTGGAAAATTCCAATTAAGCTTTGGCTCGATTGTCGGTGTGGTTAAGTTTGAAGCTTTCCAAAGCCAAGTGATGGCCAAAATATTGTATTAAATTTTCTCAGTCACTTCAGTGCCCAGTCATCATCTCAGACATTCTTTTTGTTTACCATGGGGCATTACAGGTTACTTATTGATCAGTAACAGGGACATGTATTTCATTGAATTGATCTTGAAAATTAATGGAATTACAACAACAAATAACAAATTCCATTTATATACCGCCTTTCATTCGGGATGATGTTACAAGATGTTGGACTATTTTGGACCTGAACTGTAGTTGGTGGTTGGGGGGGAGGTAGGGAGGAAGTTGGTTGAAGGCATGTTCAAAGAGGAAGGTCTTGAGGTAGACCTTGAAGGAGGCGAGGGAAGGGGTGAGGCAATGGGACTCTGGCATGGAGTTCCAGAGAATGGGAGCAGATGAAAGGGTGGTCGAGGCTGATTCGATAACTACTTTTAAGAACGCGGTGGACGGGTATTTGAGGAGGATGGGTTTGCAGGGTTATGGGGAAAGGGCTGGGGAGTGGGATTGACATTACATTGCTCTTTTCAAAGAGCCGGCACAGACTCGATGGGCCGAACGGCCTCTTTTTGTGCTGTTCGATTCTGTGAGCTGAAAGCCTGACTGCTGATGGTGGGACCGGCAGGGTGGGGGATGTGAAGCAGACCAGTGAAGAGTGGGGAGAAATTATTTTGGAATATCACTAGTTTTCAAACACCTGGTGCTCCAGCAATAATTAACACAAGAAGCAAAACTCACTTCTCTATAGAGGTATTGCTGGAATTCTGTGAGTGTCAGCTTCCACACTGATCCAACGTTTCCTCTGGAACTGCTAAGCTGCTCTGTGTAAAATGCAGCTGGTTTTAAGAGTAAGTGAGATGTTGATATTAATGTGGGATGTTTCTTCACTATTAAATGCTGCATTGTAACTTTTTTCTCCCCTATCTCCAGTGGGAGTACTTTGAATAAGTTATTCTCTGTACATTATTTCCACTTCAAGTGCTTTAACTTCTATTTTGTTTGTGTTCCTGTTGCAAAGATTAAAATAAGCTAAATAAACTGAGGTGCACCTTGAAATTGAGAAAACGACTACAGAAACTATCCTTGGGGATTGAGAATAATTAGATTGCTGGATGTCTTCAGTTCAGTGGAGGACATCATTTTCAAGTGCCATTAAGAGATCTGAACTGTCTTTTTTTTCATCTAGTTGTTACAGCAACAACAGCAAATGTTGCAGCAGCAGCAACAACAGCAGCAGCAACAGCAGCAGCAGCAACAAGCCCAGTTCACAAACCCAGAGACCCCGGGGTATGTGGGATTTGCTAACCTTCCTAATCAGGTGCATCGTAAATCTGTGAAGAAAGGGTTTGAATTCACACTCATGGTAGTTGGTAAGTATACAGTTTATTTTTTTGATCTTTTCTCTCTCCTGAAGATGTTTACACATACTGCGGTACAGTTCCACGGCTCAAACTTGTCTGTTCACCTGTAGGCTGAAAAAATGAGGGGCTGGAGACCAATTAGCAGGGGGAGGGGGGGACATCACAGCCTGCCTTATTTCTCTTCACCTTACATTCTCACATGCCCACTTTCCACTGAAGTTCCTTGATGGTGTTCATGAACTGGAGCCATGATTAACTTTTCTCTTCTTTAATCCAAGATTGCTGAGGGTAATGGTGGTGTTCCTACTGGTACTCCAAGATCACCTAACTTAGCACAGATCAGAGATCAAACTTGAGGGCTTCTTTGTCTGATTCTGTTTACCTCTCGGCAGATATGTTTCAAATGAATTATCAGGAGATAACTTTAAACTTTACGTTGAGGCTGACTAAGTAATTTCAGGATTTATCTTAATCTGGGAGAATTCCATGGATCAAATTTGCTGTTGATACAGGAAACTGGCAATCACAGAAACGTTACGTAATCTATTATAATAATACTTGCATTTAATATAGTGCTTTATCACTTCTCCATGATCTGCATCTGAAAGTTATTGTTATGGGTGTAGTCTTGTGATTGTTTTTGACGTAAGATGCCTTGTTTCAATACTGTTTTTTCTCCTTTACAGGGGAGTCTGGCCTGGGCAAATCAACCCTCATTAACAGCCTTTTCCTGACTGATCTCTACCCTGAGAGGATCATTCCAGGTGCTGCAGGTAAGGAGCCTCTGATTTGTCAGTTCAATTTTATCATAGATTGAAACTATCCAAACATGATGATGTGCTTGTATATGTCTTCCCTTTCAGGACACTGTAAATTGGTGCCAAAAAAGTCTCTTCAGAAATTCCATGCGATTAGATTTTCAAAGGGAGATATTACAATCTAGTGTTAAAAGTAGTTTGCTTTGCAGTGTATTAGAAATACTTGACAGCTGCACCGTGGAACAATATCTCTTCAGCTAAATTGGTATCAGTTAGCGGCCAAGCTCTGATTTGAGTAACAGGTACCAACTTCACTTATTGAGACACTGAGCAGAGCCCAGGCATTTTCCTATAATCTGAATAGGAAAGCCTGTCATCCAAGTTGCTTTTTCACACCATTTCATGACTGGTTACAAAGTAGAATTGACAGTATCAGGAAGGTGACCTATTCATTTAGACATGTAGGAATTTTTATTTTAATAAGCTCTTGCTATTACTTGGGGACTTGACGAGGATGTATGTAGCTGCTGAAAGATGAGCTTGTCTGGGTCACCTTGGCTCACAGCACCATGTTTCCGTTTCAGAGAAAATTGAACGCACTGTCCAGATTGAGGCTTCCACTGTGGAGATAGAAGAACGTGGAGTGAAGCTTCGTCTGACAGTGGTTGACACCCCAGGATATGGTGATGCCATAAACAGTCAAGACTGGTATGTACTATTATTGTGAACTGTATTCATGCTTCCTGAGGCATTCAATTGACGAGGGTGTTGCAATCCCAGTTTCTGTAAGTAATTTAGATTTTTAATCAGAGCATTGAATTCGAGTGACTGATTAACAGGTATTGAAACGTTTGTAAAAAANTCAATTTTTCTGCTTGCAGCAGAGAAGGTGTGCAATAAATTGGATTAATTGTACTACATAATGTACTACACAATTCACTCTATGTGAATTGAGATTAGATGGAAAAAACACACTCCCAGTGTAGCTGTTCTTAAAGGGAGATCGCTCCTATATCTAAATGGAAGTGTACAAAAACTGGAGAAATTGAATAAATTAGAAGTGTTAAACCTCTTTATTACCTTGCAGTATTGTATCTCTTTCTGGAGTGACATTTGGGGGAGGGGGTGGGTGTCATTTATAGCTATTTTAATATGGTGACATGTACATAATAATGCAGTTTCTGGATCTTGTATGATTCAGTCAAATTAAAGGACCTGATGGAATTGCTTTGAATTGCTGAGATGTAAAAATCTGTCATTGGATGGGTTTGACATACTAAAGCACTGATATAGGGTGTTTGCTTACCTGTACAAGTGCTTTGATATTCCCCAGTCATCATTCGATGCATTGCTTGCTTTGAAGGATTATCTGTGTCCCTGACCAGATGATTGTAGCTCTCACAATGTTCTTCATTGTTCAATTCTGCTTCCTCCCAGCTTTAAAACCATCATTTCATACATTGACGAGCAGTTTGAGCGTTACCTGCATGACGAGAGTGGACTGAACAGACGCCACATTGTTGATAACCGAGTCCACTGCTGCTTTTATTTCATCTCTCCTTTTGGCCATGGGTAAGCATGTTGCCTGATAGAATTGTGTCGCATTATCCTCTGTACAGCACAGAAAACATAGGCATTTGTCTGCAAAAAAAAGACATTTTAAGGGTCCTCATGATGCAAATGGTGCTATACATCAAATGTCCTCAAAGTGTAGTGGAAACTGTACTCTCTTCCTGGACGATGCACCCATTTTAGCTAATTCCAGAGAGTATCTGGTAAAGGTTGGTAATCAGGGCTTAGGGATTACAGAGTAATTGTTGGGCTACTGCTGGAGTTTAACCAGGTAAAACCACATAGGGTGTTATTGAGAGCACTGTCTGACAAGCTGCTTGTCCAGATAGGACTTGCGGGGTCTTAACGGGAGCTCACCGATCTGCCCCTCCAAGTTCTTCTTACGAACCAGGCTCAGTGGTCTGTTTCATCAGCAGTAAGTAGCCTGGTTTAGGAACCAGACTAATGAGACCATCATAGAGGATTGACTCGATTCCGATATTCACAATCTAGGCACCTATGAGGCCATTTTGATGAAGTACTCATGGAAATGTATTATAGAAAAAGTCGATGCGATGTCTTTAGAGGGAGGAAAATGTTTTTTATATTCTAAATAAAACAAGTTCTCAGCAAACTCTCCCAGCATCTCTCTGTTTTATCTTGTGTTTATCTAGCCTGAAGCCCTTGGATGTGGAGTTCATGAAAGCCATACACAACAAAGTGAATGTTGTTCCTGTGATTGCTAAGGCAGACACTCTCACACTGAAGGAAAGGGAGCGGCTCAAGAGAAGGGTACGGAGATTAGCAAATATTCAGGTCTTGTCTGAAACGAGAATAAATTACTGATAAATGTGTAAAAACTGTTCCTTTAAGTGTGAAACCAATAATTGCTGAAGTGTAATAATTCTTGTGACATCTAGTGTAGTGGGTACTCATTTGCAGCAATCCAGGGGCAATTCTAGATCCAGGAATGACACGTATTATGGGGTTAAGGTAGCAAAAAAAACATTGGTGGGATGTAATCTTGAAAGAGGCCTCGAATGGCCTGAATGCAGAAAAGGCAACCATTTTGAATCTGTAACTACAAGATGTTTATTTTAGAAATCTGTGCAGCTGAACACTGGAGTTTGTGTTTTTAGCTTTAATTTACAGCTTGAGCAAAATTTGGATGTTTTCCTTTTTTTAGATGAGTTCTGGCACAATATTGTGGGCTTTGTGCCCTTAATTGGCATTTGCAGTCGATTTAAAGTGCCAGTTTTCTTTCACTGAGGAATATAGGAATGTATAAAATTGTGAAAGGCCACTGCGATCTATCTCCCTTGAATCTGTTGGTGATTGAATCAAATGTATTATACCCTGCTAGGCCAACTTCATCAGGCTGCAATAAAACAGCTCTAATTAACCAGGTATTGTACAGGATATAAGCAAGAAGGATCTGTTAAATTTGGAGCATGAAACCACACCGCAATGTACTACTTTCCCTGTGTGTGTGTATATATTATATAATATATATATTTACAAGGCAATCCCAAATTCTGTGATGATTATCCGTTTTTCAATAGGTCCATGGTTTCTTTTTCAGATTTTGGATGAAATTGAAGAGCATGGAATTAGAATATACCACCTTCCAGATGCAGAGTCTGACGAGGATGAAGATTTCAAGGAGCAAACTCGAGTCCTTAAGGTAGAGGACAGATGTTTAAAATCTAAACTCCTTGTATGTTATTATTATTTCTGGTGAAGCATTGCCTGGCTCTTTCTTATCCTTTTGTCATAAGTCAATGTTTGCACTGGTTGAAATTCTCAGACATATGTATTTGACATATTGACTGTAGTATTGCATTAAAATGATGCTCTTCTTGTGAATACAGACCAGTATCCCTTTCGCAGTGGTTGGGTCAAATCAACTAATTGAAGCAAAGGGTAAAAAAGTCAGAGGCCGCCTATACCCATGGGGAGTAGTCGAAGTGGAGAATCCAGAGCACAATGACTTCCTGAAGCTAAGAACTATGCTCATGTAAGTGCCACGTCTAAATGACAGTACTGTTCTGATGAAATGGTTTATAGTAGGTTCAACAGTAGGTAGCAATGAACAATAAATATTGTCTAATTGGGTTTGAATTTTCCTGCTCGTTTCAAAAAACTGATGTTCTGATTAGTTGCGATACCCAGACTGCAATCGAAGATTTATCTATGTTCTGCTTTGTGTTTTCGGAATATCTAGTACCCACATGCAAGATCTACAGGAGGTGACCCAGGATCTGCACTATGAAAATTTCCGTTCGGAACGTCTCAAGCGGGGTGGCAGGTTGTCTTCCCATGGTTACGTTCTCCCTCTCTCTCCTTCGTACGTACCTGTCACTCTTGCCTTCTCGCCCTCTGCAAACCATTTTAACAGAAGCTTCTGATGTACCATTACCTGTACCTGCTGTGTGAGGGGGGAGAATGCAGTAAGGGAAGAAATGCTCTTGCACATGATCTTAGACGCTAAACATGTCGGATCATTAAACCATGTTTAGATGGTCTAGCTGCTATGGTTGCAAGTGTGCCAAAACTAATCTCACATTCCTGACATCATTTCAGTTTGCAGCCCAGTTTAAAATAGACCAAACGCAGGGTGAGTTACTTAAAGCTTGAAGCAAAGACATACTGGCCAAAAAGTCTTCTTCTGCTGACAATGCTGGTCCAACTTGAAGACAGCAGTTCTAAATAGTCTTTAAAGTAATCTCGGCCAATATTATCCACGGTACAGGCCCAAAAAACCTCCTAGAAAATACAGGATAGCAGCAAGCCATTCAGTCCATGCATATAACCTGTTGTGATACTTGCTCCTTCAGTAACCACTGTGATCCTAAGTCCTTTTTCCTCTGAAATAACCGATCAGGTCAGTTACATGTCACTATAGCCATTTGCTTTTGTGTAATTTTTAAAAAGCAAAGTGCCAAAAGCAGCATTCTAAATATATTAATTCAGTATATGCTTTTGGAGCAAATGTCCATATTCCATAATAACTTCTCTCATCCCCTGGCAGGAATACAGAATAGTTTTGCCTGAACATGTGATGAAAGAGGTGGCGGGAAGTATTATGACCGAGTATCCCAGGTCTCCCTGTACAGCCTATTCCAAAAATAACTAAATTTATTTTGAGAATGTTTTAGGTAATTCCAGTACACGGACACAGTGCCTTTTTCCTGTGGTTAATATGAGATTCTTCAATAGAAAATGTCATGTTAGATGTTAATTAGTGTCTGAAATTACAGTACCTTTCCCTTAAAGCATCAATTACTTTTTGAGGGAGAGAAAGAATATCCAGCTGAGTATGTTTAGACTCTGGTCCTTAAAGTGCATGCAGGGTTACAGTTATGGTCGGGTTATGGTACATTAGAGCTTTCCAAGAATCCTGATCATAGCGGCGTGGAACATTGTACAAGATGGCAGTGTCCCAGTGTAGACTGGGCATTGTTTGTCTCCAAAGTGATTTGTACAGTGTTTGCGTTAGCCATGTCTGGGAGTCGCTGAACCAAAATGGTGTGAGGAGCGACAACAAATTGGTGAAATTTGAGGGGGAAGGATCTTCCTTTGATCTGTTCTTTGATCTGTTTTCTGCTATCTTTTACTATTAATTCCTTCTTTTAAATATGTTTCAAAGTTATGCCAACAGAGGGAGCTAAGGGAAATTGTGTTATGGAAGGAGCAAATTACCTTTTGAATACAGAGGCATACGTAAATAGGGTATTTTACTTCTGTCAATGAAGCCAAACCACTTGTTTTTTTTAACCAAAGTTGAATATCCAGAGCTTTGTTCAATTACCTTGTATAATTTAATGCCCTCTTTCCCCCATCTGAAGTGTTTTAGTTCCTGAAAAGAAGCTGTACAAATTAAATTGTTGTTGCTTGTGGCACTTGGTTGGAGTAATTTAAGAATCATTGGCCTCTGGGCAAACCCTCATGTTTCATGTTCCACAACCATAGATAGAGAACACCTTAGGGACTGCTTAATTTCCAGGGAAAGGAAGAAGCGTAATTTGATGTACGCTTGTAATTGCAACTCAAACAAATAGTGGATGTGTTGATGAACTGTATTGTTCAAGAGCATAATCTCATATTGCTGTTACAATCTCAGCTTTCCCCTCCAGGCTTGTGAATCTGTTTATCATTGCTGCTTCCAAGAGGTTATCAGGTGGTTTGACTGGAAGTTGGTGATTCATTACAAATGGGTAACTAAAACAGGTATCCGTTTGATTTAGTTGCCAGAGTAGCTTACAAGACGGATGAGATTTGAAATGCAAGACTTTCATTCTGTCACTTGGTTCACTCACTACTTAAAAGAATCCAATTTATTCCTGGAGCCCAATTTGATCACTTCACATATCGCGTTTGCTCATTTCAGACTTATTTGTACAGGTGTGAGAAGATTATGTGAAGCCAAGTTATCCATGAATTTTAGTTCGCAAACTATGTTTGATTTCCTGCAACCAAGGAGAATTTTAGCAAAATTTTGGCTGCTATGTTGATTTTAAAGGCATTTCATTTTTAAATTATTTTTTAAAATTGCACTCTTAATAATTCGATGCAAACAGACTGATTTGGCACTTAAACCATAAATTCTGCTTTGTTTTTTGAGAATATTGCTGACATGTGGCCCCCTTGACTTGCGTACCCTAATTTTTACTTTGTATGTTGCCTTCACACTTTTTTTCCCCCCTTTTATACATAAAAATAGTTCAAATTAAGTTTGTTTGAGAAAATTGCCTTGTCAGAATTCATAACCTTACTTTGTTAGATAAGCAAGTTTTGTTAAATTAAGTGGACAAGTCACTTCAGGTAGTTTTCCACTGTTCGATTTCTGGACAAGTTTAAGACTTGGAATGTCAATAAGAAATGTGTACCTGTGAAGAACTCACACGCTGTGCCAGCAAACTGGGTGCTGACTCAATGATATTTCACGCATGCAGTGTTGGAATGAATAGTGTAGTTTACCATTGGGCAGCTGGTGGAGATGTGCTGGACGAAAGCCCAATTCTGTTTTGATGCAGTGCTTGCTAGTTGATTACCGATTCACAACAGTTTAGATGTTTTTTTCCTCTCTCCTTCACTTGTCTCGTTGTAATGGGGGGGTTTAATTCAACTGTTTGTTCAATTGAATGGTTCATTTCATGTTGATACTATACAAAACTTGCTAACTGGATATATCACCTAGCACAGGAGAAGTTTATCTCTGAGAATCTTTTGGTGTGATTCAGATAGGAACTCAGTGTCTGTCCAGCTGAGCTGGACGGGGATAAAGACCTTTAATTTGAGGGATTGATGGTGGGTTTGCAAACTCTCACCTCTGGGACCCAAGTTGAAACCTAGACCTTGAACCCCTCGGTGTGGCCTGATATGAATATATGAGAATTCTTGTCGACTTTTCAATGTGGAACATTCCCTGCCTCTTTGTGACATTGGGTATGTGTGATATTAATAGTGCATTGCCCTATTAGAGTTGCAGGAGCATTAGATAATTCTCAGGCCAGCCCCATGTCTTTGGATTGTTTCTGAGGTGTTGAAGCAGAATGTTTTTTACTTGAGATGAGTGAAGGCCGTTTCCAGTGGAAAGTTTGCACACAGGGTGCCGAGAACAAGTCCAGGAGAAGTCTACAAGGAAATCTGAAAGGTGAATCAGTTTGAGATGGTGCTAAGCCAAGTTGGTCAGGTTAATATGTCACTGACAATATACTGACTGTTTAGTTAAAACAAATTGGTAAGTGAAGCGATCAATTCAAGTTTTGCTGATTCTGGGACTACTGGATTTAACCCAATTTAACTATTTTGTGTTTGCCCTCTTAGAAAAGGGGAAGAGCATCCTCAGGATAAGGACCAAATCCTGCTGGAAAAGGAAGCTGAGGTAAGAGCTTTAGTGATGCAAGAAAATCACATTCACTCTCCATCCTTTACAAAAGTCGTTCTCTGCACTGCCTTCAAGATCTCACGTTCAGCACTGGCCTGATATCTCTGCAAGTGGTGTGAAGACAGTATTTTGGATTCTGTCGTACAATGCTTTCCAAATATTCAGGTTTTCAATTTTCTTTTCTCGTAGCTGCGTCGCATGCAGGAGATGATTGCCCAGATGCAGGCTCAGATGCAGATGCAGCAGAATAAACCAGGAGGAGATGGGGATTCCAGCAGTGTGCATAGCCAGCACGTCTAAACTGGAGAGTGAGTGTCTATCCCACACACAGGAAGACTGGAAGTGGACTACAGCAACTAGATACAACAACTACTTTCATTTATATAGTGCCCCTCATGCAGGGTAGGGCCTCAGAGCACTTATTTGCTGCCATACTTCAGGTTATCAGTGTGTACACTGATGAGAATTTTCAAATGACCAGTTTTTAATTTAAAAACAGGAGATGCATTTATGATTCTCCCTTTCCCATGCCGCCAGCTGATTTAGCACTTGGTTTTGACTGCATGATAACTTTAGAAATTGATAGCATGGGAGGCCAAGCAGACAGTTCAAACCATTATAATTGCTGCCCCTCAGACAGAACTATCTATTTAGTTCCATTTTCATGCCTTTTTGTCCCGTACCCATTGAATTTAAACTTACAGATAGTTCTTTGAAATGTGCACTTCTAAAAACCCTCTTTTTTTTTTTAGATCTCTTCCAAAAGATTCTCGAACACAATCCACTTCCTTGAAGCAGAGGTGGCAAGGAATCTTGAGTGTGGAAAATGTGGTTTTGACAGCCATTATTTGAGAGCTGTGATTTCAGTGCTAAGTTCACAATGCAATATTGTAATCTTTGTACTCTTATTTTTGCCAATTTTTTTTATATGTGGTAATTTCATTTTTTTTATATTGCCTATATAATTTGTATTAATCTCACTTTGGATTTCAGTTCTATAAGTGCTCAAAAGTAAGATTCATTTATACAGTGCCTGTTATTGACTGTTTTTTCGTGGTTACGTAGATAGCATTTGTGACACTGGATAAGGGTGAAGAAGCCACTTGTTAATGGGGAGGGTTTGATTCGATGGAACTGTGAGAGCTGTAACTCATTCATATGAATATTGACCATTTAGGTATGTTGTGTAGTGAAGCCTGTATCATTGCTAATCCAAATGCACTGATGGATTGCAATGCTACAGAGGCACCTAGATCCTGTTTAGCAGAGTCACTGTTCATAAGAGTTAAATGTGTCAGCACGGTTAATATTGGAGTTGTATTGCTTTCTGGTCACTGACAAGGATCCAAGCAATTATTTACCACCCCCCCTCCCCCGCTCACTTTAACCTGCTTGGAAATCAAACCACTGAGCTTTTGAAACCTTTGGTTAAATTACATTATTTGTTGTTCCTTCTCAATTCCGCCTGTAAACACTTGTTGGATTTGTTATTTTCTTGCTCCAAGAAAGATACGTGTCTGTACTTGGCATTTTTAATGACATTGACAAATGCCAATATTCAGTATGTCAGGATTACACTGCAGTTAATTGACTGATTAGAGTGTATTCTGTATTAGTCTTTTGAGAATGGATTTAATTTTAATCGGATAACAAACATTTGGGCCCTCTATCCTTTCAAATAACTCATTCTCCGGTGTTAACCAAAATGTTAAACCACTTAAGGTTTTTTTTAATTCAATGCATCCCTTTTGAAAAAGGTTATGTTCAAGGCTAAACTGTACTGTCCCGGTCAGCACAACATATCACCAAGGTAACTACTACTCAGTGCACTAATTATTTGGTCTGGCAATCTGACTTGTCCATCCATCTGTGGAGCTTGAATCAACTGACATTGCACCTAAATAACAGGCAGGAAAACTCAGAGAGAGAGAGAGTACTTGAATTTGGTTCCTCGCCACCAAGGATGAAACAAACACTTGGATTGTACTCTCCACACACTTATAGACTGTCTAAAATGTGGTTTTAAAAAAAAATCTTCAGTCTGGTATCGTGGTTTGAAAAGTTAATTGAAGCATGTTCAGCCAAACAATGGAGCATTAGGATTTAATCCCTGCAGGTACTGTGTAATTTACCTTTGCATTCCTTTTCAGTGACATAATTATGGTGGTTTACTTAGATGATGATGGAACTGCACAAATCCCATCTATAGATCCTGCATTTGAATCCCTTAACCAGCTTTTATACTGGCATAAAACTTCAGATGTGCACTTGGCTTATTGGTACCTTAGAGTTTGTCATCTAAACTATGGGGGGCTGGTATAAATCTGTCCCTGAAGTAGATATGTCCCCTTGGTCTTCAGTCTGAAAATTGCATGCCATGAATTGGCTTGTCTTGGCAACTAAAAAGCTATTTATTGTATAGTAAGATGCAATGACTCCATTTATATACACTGTCAGAATGCACAAGCCTGTGCTCATACTTGCATTGACATTCCTTTTGCTTTGCATGAGTTCCCTAAATACTTTGAGGCTGGGGGATTTCAAATTTTTCGCTTGATTTTTGAGTCAGTTTCTTTTGGGGAAATTGTATTCTGCATGAAAACTTTAAAGGAGCATTTTAGAAATGGGTCTTCTGTGAATAAGGATTTGATCTGAGAGTATTTCCTGATCTGATTGCATTCTTCACCACGCTGTTACGTTAACCCATTTAATGCTCTGGGCAGCAACTTTTGTTCTGGGACACTTGATCTCTGCTCGGTCTCTCTTGAGTAACTGAGTCACTGTGGTCCCTACTACAGTAAAGCTCACATAAGTTGTATCAGTTGGGACCATATATTTAATATGATTTATGCAAAGTATACGTTTTGTCAAACTTGCATAGAATATAAACTCTTGAAAGGATTTAGGCAGATTATACGATTTATAAAGATCAGACTTATGAGTTTTACTGTACATTGCTGCTTGCAAGGATACCCTCTAATCGAGTCCCTGCTCGCTTGACCTTTTCTTAGGAGTGCCTGAATTAGTCCGATTTCTCATGCACAAAGGAAGTAGAAAGAGTGTCAACAGCCCGTGCCTCGTGTTAATTTTCACTTTAAACTTCATATTTGCACAATTTCTAAACTATCACCATAAACCCCCATTCCTGAAACTGTACCATTTCTTGTAACTTTCACCAGTTTTTTTTCAACAGTATTAAACCACAATGAAAATCAAATAAACTTTGGACTAACAACTGTTTAAATGTGATTTGGATTTGAATCTCAAAGTTGTTATAGAAAAGTCAGGAATAGAATTTCCGCTTGTATGTATTTTTACATTTGTCAAGTGACTGACAAGTACTGTTTGTGTCCAAATATTTCATTTAGTGAAGTTATTCCACCCCCATTGCTTATACATGTGTTTTAGGACACTGGGTTTTTCTCAGGATTTAATGCTGGGAAATGAGTGATTGCCCAGTGTCCTCTGTCACTGGGTATCCTAACAGTTAGAAATTAACATGGATGTTTACATTCTCTTCTCCCACTCTCGCCTTCACATCTTTGGAATGCTTATGCAAATCTTTTGTTGGAAGGAGTTTTTCTTCTGTAGGGAGGATAAGAGTGCATTTTCTTTCTCTGCTCAATCTCCACCAAATGGTCTTGGTGTACTAGTAGCTGTTAGATTCGAGCATTGGGAGTTGTGCACTTTCTAAGCTTAAAGGCTGTTACAATACTATTTGGATTTCAAAAGCTATTTTAGAACTTCTAACCATTTCAGTCTCATACCTTGTTAAATGTTTAAATTCTTTGGATGATGTGAGTGATGGTGTGACACACCCTCTGTCTGGCAGTTTTGTGCCGGATAGTGACATCCAGGTCAGCCATTTCCATTTGAATATTGAAGGCTGAGACAGCAATAACCAAACCTATACAGTAATGTATTGCTGCTTGTTACAACAATGTAAATGCATTTGTGCTTTTGTTAAATGTTGCAATAAACTTGTATAAAACATTCAAGCTGTAGATTGGTCTCTCTGTTCACACATGTGAAGGAAAACAAATTATTTGGTTGGCTGGTACTTGTCATACCATGGGCAAGGCATTTTAGATAATACCAATGATGCTCCCAGAAATTTTCAGGTAATTGAGAAAATCTTAAGAGGTTTGAATGTGACTTATTTGTTGGATGCTATTATGATGAGGATATCTACCTCTGCATCTGATCTGGTTGTTTTGACCTTGTGTGCCTAAACCATGGGGGTTCAGGTGCTGTTAACTGATCGATCGATAGTTTTTTTAAAAAAAGTAAATGGGTTTCAACACGCCGTGTTTTGACTAAATGGCACAATGGGATGAAAAGATTGGACAAGACAATACATCATTGCATTTGATAAAGCGATGATCAAGTTCTTAATATTTCAAAGGGCTTCAGAGGATTTTTTTAAAACTGAAATGTAATTGCACACAGCAGTATTCCACAAACAGCCATAAAGTTTTATTTGGAGAAGCTCACTTTTTGAAGCGTGCTGTGGGATCTTCAACATCTACCTGAACAGACGCAACAACTTGGACCCGCCTGCTGACTGCCTAACATTTGTTTGTGCTTTCGGTAGCGTGTTAGTACAAGTTTCATTTAATAACTATACTTATCCATGAGACCTAGACACAACCCCTCAATGTAGTAAGCTGCATTTATATTCAACTTGAATTTCCCGTAGGGTCATAGCTCAGTGTGTTACAAGGACAGGGTTAGATATTAAGCAAGGGAAAGGGGTGGGTGGGGGAAAAGCAGTAGGTTTTGAGGTGGGACTTCAAAGAAACAAAAAGGGGTGGGAGGAAGTTCCAGAGGTTAGGGACATGAAAGTGTTTTGGTAAGATTGGGGCAGTAGTGATGTGATGGAGGTGAAGGAAAGCAGATCTGCTCGATGACTGTGAGGAAGGAGGGAATTTTGAGAATCAAACAATGCCGTGATTCTGCACTGATTCAACGAGTTTGAAAGAATTTCCGTACCTTAAGTAACCTGCTGCCTGAATTTTAAAAACCTATGAATGGATTAGAACCATCACTAATCTCCATCACTAATCTGCATAGTTCTCGTCTTTGCCAGTGGTAGTTTCTACTTAATGTACTTTTATTTCCTCTATTGAACCATGGCAGCATAATCTTAAACTTTAACTGGGCTGAGATAATGCCATTGATGGCATCATAACTCTGGTTTATTATCCCTTGCAATTTAAGGGAATTTTAAGATGCTAAGAAATTACTTTATAGTGACTCAGAGTGAGTTGCACAAGCACTGAAGAAAACGTAAATTCAAAAGTGATGGTTACCAGTCATTCATTATTTTGCAACTTGAGTTTGGAAAATTATTTTCCAAGCCACTCTGATTTCCTCTAAACTACTTCCCTCCAAAAAAGATGCTGTAAGAACTCCCACATTCAGCAATGCATAACTCTCCTTTAGTTCCAGTGTAAATCCCAAGAGATCAGAACACTTGAAAACTTACAACGAGAAAAATCCTAGAGGCCAGTTAACCTCTAGATTTTGGGCAGTGTAATTCTGAGTCCTGTAGCTCAGTGGTTAGAGCACTCGCTTTGCAAGTGAGAGACCTGAGTTCAATTCCAGGCAGAGGGCGAAACCTTGGGCAAGTTTCCTTACTCCACACAGAGCCTAATAATAATCCCTCCAAAACCAAAACCAATAATAAATTGGTCATTTTCAATCCATTTTCAATCTGCTGCGTTCGCCCACAAATATACGGTCAATTCACTTTACAGTATATTCTGTGAAGAACTTTGGGACGTCTAGAAGACATGAAAAGCACTATATCAAATGCAAGGATTATTATTATTCTTTTCGAATTCAAGATCCTCATCCTCACCTACAAGGCCATTCACGGCCTCGCTCCCTCCTACCTCTCCGTCCTACTATTCCCCTACTTACCTGCCCGTACCCTCCGTTGCTCTGCCTCTGGTCTGCTCCACATCCCCCGCCCCAACCGCCCTACCATCGGTGGCCGGGTCTTCAGCCCCGAGGCTCTGGAACTCCATCCCCCAGTGCCTTCGCCGCTTCCTCCCTTTCCTCCTTCAAGGCCGGTCTCAAGACCTTTCTCTTTGACCGTGCCTTCAGCTCTCCTCTCGACTCTCTACCCCCTCCTCGCTCCCTCCCTTCCCTCCCCTCACTCTGACCATTTCCCCCCAATGCTCGGGTCCTGACCCGACGTGAAAGGCGCTCTATAAATGGAATCTTGTTGTTGTTGTTATTTCACGGGCTGCACTCTACTTCACTCACCTAAAATGCATATCTCTAAAAGTAATCACTGGACTCCTGTTAACCCTATAAGTCAAAGCCCTAATGGTAGGGTGGTCCTTGCTGGACAAGCACCAGGAAGATGGCTAAACACTGCTCTCAAAAGTAAGGTATGTGACTTTAGTTGGTTGAACTCCAACAGCACCCCAACGCATACTCTGGAATCCCCAAGCATTGACTCTTGCCAAACTGCCTAATACTCTCCTCTGTGGAGTTAGGTAAGCAGGGTGTACCCCTTGGGGGAAGAGAGTGCACATTCCATTCCAGACACGGGAATTTCCATGCGTGGTTTAGGTATTCTCGCATGGTGATAGGTTTCTGCGTGTGTCAAGTACCTGGCTGACAAAAAAAAATGTGTTTTCAGGGTCAGAGTTTGTCTGCCTGTCAAACTGGCTATGTTCTACTCTATGGATATGTTTTTTTTTACTTAAAATCATACTTTCATGTTCAAGTCCTGACTTGTCAGTCTTTTTAGCATGAGAATTACAGTGGAATGTTATGTAATTCTGTTTGCTCCAGGGACTTAAAATTGCTTATTTATTTGTGACTCTGTCTTTCTTCCACTGCCTCCTCCACAAACAAAATTGTGCTGCAACATACAACTATACTAAATACAATCAATCCCATCGTATTCAGATAGGACAGACTTTCTGACCTAACAGGAAAAGGTAGTTTTCAGTGTGTGCAGAGAGGGAAAGAGGATGAATGTTTAATAGTGAATATTTGCAGACAGACAGAGGCTAGTGTTTTATGGGAAAGATTAGGCAAAGTCCTGGAAGTTTTTCGACCTTGCTTTTGGTCACCTTAACCCTCCAACTTCCTCAGCTGCCCCCAACCCCAGCTCAGCCTCCCAGTCAACTCTGTGAAGCATCCTCCGATGTGAAAGGCACTATATTTAATGTAATTTGTTTTTCCTCCTTATTCCTCTACTGTCTAATAATAATTATTGCATGTCTGTAATAATAATTATTGCATTTGATGTGGCCCCTTATGTTGTTGAGACATCTCAAAGCGCTTAACAGGATATACTGTAAAGTGGTGTGACTGTGTTCTGTAAGTGTTTAACTGCTCTCCGTTACCTTGCTGAAGTACCATTCATTCATTCATTCATTCAGTGCAACCTGAGCAGTGAGTGAAGGGATATTAGAGTTAAACTTGACCATGTTATTACCATGAACCACATGCAGTCATTATGTACTAATCAGTGGTAGGGACTCTGGACAGTGTGTATTTTAACCCCAACCTGAGGAGGTTGTAAACCAATTATAGAACTAATACTATTAACTGCAGCCAAAATTCGGTAAACCGCATGTTTCAAGGTTTGTATGTGGTTGACTCCTGGCTTTTATGATTCACTGAGCCATTGTGGGTGTCTGAAGGTGACTGTTTACTTATACATGAAGCAGGTCACTGTTTATAACATACCTTAATTTTTACATGTTGTTACTGAGCAAATTGCAAAAGGTATTTGAAAAGTAAAGGAGTTTGCTGTCTGTTTGGGGGGAGGTGGGGGGGATTTCAAAGCGGATTAATTTCCAGGGACATCCTGCCAATGAAGACGTTAATCCTCAGAAAAGTAGTTGGTGCAAGAGGGGAAAAGACAACCTGACAGGCAGGAGCTCAGATGGGAACGTGTGAAGGCGACCCCATCAGGAGAGTGACACAGGCAGATATTTGCGGTGCAGAACATGTTGGGGGAGATCTTACAATGTATGTAGATCTGCCCTGCTTTTGATCACTGACCGGCGGGGGTTTAGCCCTATGTTTCTTTGGCAAGATTGACTTTACAGAAACCTTTGTGAGGAAGTGGCTCAATATGAATGTGTTTCTTTTTAAATGGAGAAATGATGCTTCCTACTTGAGATTCTGATGTAGCGAAACCACCTGCATCCGTTTAGAAAGCGTCGACTCTTCCAGCAAGTGAGCGTTTGCGTGTCTTAACGCTGTTAAGTTGCTGTTTTAGTTTATTTCGCCTCGGGGTGTTGTGGAGGGTGGGTATCGAGTTACAGAGCATGTAGGAGCATTCCTTGACTTACCGACTCCAGGTTTCAGGTTCTCAATGCAACAAGTGATTTCCAGACACTGGCTGTGCCCGGAGGAGTTTAGTCGTTTTGACAGAAGTGACTTTCTCTTGCAGTTGGAGCCCTGTCCAAGCAAAGCAAAACCTTTGGGACAACAGCCTCGTTAGTCTTCATGGAGGAACCTCTGAACTTTACTGAGCACTAAAGGTAAGGACTGAAGAATGAGCCATTCAGCTGAGGGAACCAGGTGAACTGCTCAAAAGCCGACGTTAAGCTTTTTTTTGTTTGCATATCTCTCATTAGACTTTCTCGAAAGGCTTCCAGCTTGTTAACAGCAGGGTTAAAGCGTAAAAGTCAGGACGAAAGTATAGTTGGCTTCAAAATGGAGGTTTTCTTTTCTGTTTCACTCTTACCCCTCAATAAACTCCAGTCCTTATTTTAATTTTTTTAAAAAAGACATGAATTGCCCTGAGTTTTAGAGAACTATGTGATTAAAACTTTGCTCTTTGTACAGAAGTACAAAGCATGTGGTGTAACCGGTTTCCCAATTAAAGATGATTTGTAACATTTGTGTCTTTCTCCCGATGTTTTTTTTAATATATATTTATATAGCGTTCTCACAACATGTCCTATTCGCAAACTGAGAGGGTAAATAAGTAGAATAAAAATCAGTTAATCGAG